ACGTGCATGTGTACATTTAATCACCCTTGTCTTGTACAAAAAATTTAAGGACTCTGAATTCTTTACATCTGATTCACTATTCCTGTTCTGCATGTGCTATATGTCTGTTAAAAATTTTTTGTACCTTAATTTTATTCCCTAAAATCAGCCATAGTTATTATCTTAGTCAACCAATTCCCATTTATTTCACCTATTTACATAAAAATTTCTTTGCCCATTATTCATTCCTTTTACCTCTATTTGTTCTCCTGGGTTTAGCTTCCTTTTCTGAGAATCTGTTAGAGGTTCACATTCTTGACTAGGCTTGTCAGGAGATTGTCCAATTTGTTAGTATTTTAAAGAAGTTTGGGCATTGTTTATCCTCTCTACTGGGTCTTTGTTTTTTCACTAATTTCTGTTCATATTTTCATTGTCTCATTCTATTTCCTCTAGGTTTGTTTTACTATTCCTTTTCTAACTTCTTGATACTTAGATCATTTGATTTTCAGCCTTCTTTCATTTATAACTCTCATTTTCCTTCCAAGCAGGTCATTAGCAGCATCTACAAGTTTGGATATAATATTTTCATTTTCATGTCATTAAAAATACTTGCTAATTTCTGTTGTGATTTCTTCCTTGACTCATGGCTTATTTTGATGTGAGTATCTTAATTTCTCTATGGATTGGCAATAAACAGCTACCAGAACATTGCAGCTTCTATTAGTAAAGCTATATTTTTATGTGCTTATAAATTTACTATTGCTATATCTTCCTAGTGAATTTAACTTTTTATCATAATAAACTGTCTTGGTTAATCTGTTAATGTCTATGATATTTGTCTTAAAGTTTCCTATGTCTGATAAATTATTTCCTACAGTATCTTTTCTTTGGGCTGAGATTTGCATAATATATCTTCTTTTGTCTTCTTACTTATAATCTCTGTTTTCACATGTATTGCATATGTCTCTTCAGTTGACCTGCAGTTGGGTTTTATTTTTTATGCAGTATTAGGAATTTTGTCTTTTAATTGCATCATTTGCCTTAGTGACATGTAATATAATGTGTTGATAAATTGATGTTTGAAAATGCTTCTATCTTATTACTTTTGTCTTATCTGCTCTATTTTATTTTTTCTCCCTTTTTACCTTCTTTTTTATTGATTTTAAATTAATATTAATTTTAAAATTAAATTAAATTTTAATCTTACATTTAGTATACATTCATTTTAATAATTTAAAAATTATCCTATTAGCTTGGGAATTATATATTGCCTTGCCTATTATTTAATGGTTATTTGAGAAATTACATTTTTTTTTCACTTTGATCAAAGTCTAAAATTAAGTTAATTTTTACTCTTTTCCTTGGCTAATCCAAATGCTTAGAACTCTTTAAATTCATTTGTATCTTTAAATTCATATATATCTGGAATCAAATTTGCTGGTTCTTAAAGAATGTGAAGTTAAACTTTGGAACATAATGCCCAAGTGGTTATATCAATATATCCTTCCACCTTCAGTGGAAAAATGACCTTGTAGATCCATATTCCTTAGCCTTTGATAGTGTTAGGCTTTTTAAAATTTTGCTAATCAAAGAGATGTAAAATGCAGTCTTGATTAGTTTTTCTTTGATCAAGGATTATTTTGACTTCCTTATAATATGTTCATTGGTCTGTTTTGTCCTTGTAAATGCCTACTCACATATTTCACACAGTTTTTATTGGGTTGTCAGGGCATTTTTTAATGTTTTTTGGTATTTTTAATGTATATTTTTTCTAATCCTTAGTTATATTTCTAGTATTTTCTCTCAGTTTTTGATCTCTGTATTTCACCTTACTTGCAATATGTTTTTAATGAGCAAATCGTTCTTGAAAACCACAACCTCTCATGTGTTCGGGTATCTACAATCAGAAAATGTCCCCAAGGTAAAGGTAAATTTCTCAAACACTGTACTTCCTTCCCAGAACTTCTATTCTTCCCTAGAATCTAGCCTGAGAGGACTTTACTATCTGGCTAGTGATTTTATTCTCTAAGAGACTGCTTAACAAGCTAGTTATCCAAATATTCCAGCTGTCCTTCAATGGACAAATTATGTGTCCAAATTATGTGTTCTGCCATTACCAGAATCAGATACTGGGAAATCTTCTCAATATTTTAAATGAAATTTTCTTGACTGAAAATTTACCTTAAGTAATAATATTGTGTTGGCAGCTTATTTTTTCTGTTAGTCATTTATAAAGGCTCCCTTCTCTCTGTTTTTTTCATGATATTCTCATTTTTACTATGATATATATATTTTATTTTTGTCATTTTGGGGGATCATTTTGATACCTGAATTTGAGTTTTATGACTTTTATTAGCTATGGAGATTCCTCAGCCTTTATTTCAATTAGATACATATTGGACCTTCCAATTCTAACCTCTGTGTTCTTGAATGTCCATTTCATAATTCCCATATCTTTATCTCTCTGTGCTGTATCCTAGATAATTTTTTCAAATCTATTCTTAGGTCATTTATTTTCTACCCAGCTATTTTAAATCTCTGTTTAGGGTATCCATTGAGTTTTAAATTTCAATGACTATATTTTTTCTTTCTACAGTTTTGATTCTTTTTAAAATCATCATGTTCTCTTTGATTTTGTCTTATGTTGATGTAGATAAGATGAACAGTCTCAAATCATCATGTACCTGAAGAATTCAAAACTCATTTGTATAAATAGCACTTCCAAGAATGTGTTATGAAATAGAGCAGGATGACTAATTTTTATACAAATCTCCGTCCTGGAAAGGAAAACCATACTGAGATGTTTTTGTGACTGTTTTCAATTTACCACTTTATCAGAACTAAATTTAAAAGATGAAATTATATCAGTTCCTCTGTACTGTAAGGGGAAGAAGGAACATTTTATTGTTATCTTTCTGATATTCATTTCATTAGCATTTGGGAAAGACTACAGTTTCAAGTCTAAGAATATAAGCTTGTGTTTATAAAATCTCAAAGAAGGAAGAATTCTTTTGTACCTACAGCCTAAGCTAAGGAACTATGATGTGCTGTAGTTTCCCTCTCTGCTGACTCAGAGAATGTATTTTTCTGTTATATTCTCTAGTGAGCATAAGCCGTTCCAAGATGTGCAGTCTCAGTTCTCACCTCTTCACGCAGCCTCGAATACTCTTCTTACTTAGCATTTCAAAGCAACAAATTCTCAAGGACAGAAACAGTTTGTTTCTCTCTCAGTTTTTAGTTTCTTCTGTTCTTTTGGCTTCTGGGGACTTCTCTTGTTCTCTTTTTGGTCCAAGTATACATTTGATAGCTTTTAATTTTACTTTTACCTTGCATTTTTAGTTGTGATTTAGAAGGAGGATTTCAGCATGATCTAGTTTGCTATAATGAGTAAAGTGGAAATTATTTCTAAAAACAGTACATCATTAAAAAAAGAAAGCTGGTTATTTCATTAGTGGGCTAGGTTGTATGATTTGTTCCTCTTTAGTGTGTGTATAGTTTCAGAAGCTTTTTCTTAGAAATAACAATACAAGAAAATATTCTTGCTCTCTTATAAATGTTTTGCTCAATTATTACTCACATGCACACAGGTGTATGTATATAGAAACATTTTTCCTGACTTGGGACTATTCTCTGTCAGCTTTTCCCTTTTAGAGAAACTCTTTGTCAATTTATGTTAAAATTACATAATCATATGAGTTTGTTATTGCTCCAACACTAAGTTTTATATTTGCACTTGGGGTTCAGAGTTAGCCTAAATTCAAGCTGAAATCTACTGGTATTCAAGTATTTTTGGATTTCTCTGGAGATCTGATCATATTGACTCATCAGGAGTATTTTTAAAGGAGAGGCAAGGATCTTTCTGGGAATAACTCCTTAAAGCAAAGATAGCATGAGTCAAATGAACTTGACGTCTATAACACTGTCTTGGCTGTCAGAGATGAAGTCTGAATCTGATCCCAACTTGTCATTTGCTACTGAGATTGGCCCCTGCCCCACTGCCCCCTCCCTCAAACATGGGCTTTCTTCATAGTGACAGAGAGCGAGTAGGCTGAACTTAATGCATAAAAAAATCAATGAATGAAAAGTCATTCTTCCACATACATGGAGAAATTCCAGGGGTACTTTATTTATTTCTGTTACATAGATGATAAAGAGATTTATAAAAGGGGAGAGACAGATACATTCTCCTTACATTGGCTTGGGGCATTAGTGAACCCCAAAAATCCATTATCACTGGCAATGCCTAGAGGACCAAGTAGCCAGGGAGATAGGATAGTGCTCAGGCAGCAGAGCTGGTTTAGGCAGCTTAGTGTCTGTCCAAGAGGGAAACTGTGCCCTTGGCTCTAGAATCAGCTTTCTTCAGCTATAAATGGTGGCAGTGAGGTGCTCTCAGGTGGCTTTATGGACAGCAAAAGCCTGGAAACAGCTCTCACTCAGAGGGATAGATCACAAAAGGGGAAGCAAAATAGACATACTGTAGACTGGTGGTTGCCAGCGAGAAGCTGATTAATGGCAAGGAGTAAGGAGCTTTACTTTGGAGTAATGGAAATGTTTTGGAGTTAGAGGGTGGTGGTGGCTCAACCACATTGTGAATGGACTAAATGCCACAGAACTGTTCACTGTAAAAGGGTTAATTTTATGTTATGAAAACTTCACCTCAATAAAGTATTTTATCAAACAAAAGAGGAAGCAGACCTTGTGCTATTCCTGACCACATGTAACAACACTATGACTGCCCCAAATATTGGATGATTCTTTGATGGGGCTGTGCAACACCATGGATATCCTTGCAGCACCACAGATATGGAAAGCTTGAGAAACATCATTTTATTACATTTGAACTGACCCAGGAATGGTTGCCCTCAGGAAATGTGAGTTTCATGCCATTTAAAACATTTTGCTCCCGTGTCCTATTGTTTCAGTCTCAATTCTAAGATACTGTGACAACATAATGATTAGCATGTATTGGATAACACCTCAGGAGTATTATAAAAGGGTAATTGTGTATACTTTTCTTGTAGTTTCTGAACATTTTCTGAAGGATGGAAGATGATTTCTCTCATGTTCCTCCTCCTTCAAAGAATAAAGCAAAGGTGGGTATTAATCCAAAAATCTTTTGTGACTTGTCCTGATTAGTTTTGGAAAGGGTTTGTACAATGTCCTGAGAATCAGGAATTTACTTTTCTCTGAAGTCAGACTACTTTAGCTTTACAGCACGGAACAGTAATTTAGAATGTGGAGTTTAAAGATTTTAAAAACAAATGGTCTGTGAACATAGGAAATGGTTTCCTTCGGGCGACAGTATCCTGGCTGGTCCTGGACCCAGATTTCAAAGAAATCCTTCCAAAACACGGGGAGGTGGTTCTCCCAGGATTAACTTTCTTAGAAAAAAAGAAGCGATGACACGTTTCTCTTCCTCATGTTCCTGTATGAACATTGATTTATTTATTAAATAAGTGGTCATGTACTCCATAAACACACATCGGCTCCTAACATTATCTGCCATTGATCCAAACTGTTTCTTCGCGAATATGGACTTCCACAGTTCAAAGTCCTAGAAAAGCTCTGAAAAGGTCATTATACATTAAGTAGCTGATTTTTCATGAGATTTTTTTTTTCAAATATGAAGTTAGATTTCCAGTTCAACTTGCAAACTGCAGTTTCAAGAAGCACACAGCTAATGTCAAAAATTGTTTCTCTGAATTTTAAGAAGCACCCATGTACAGAGCCCACAGTGTCCCATAGAACTGTGAGTTATTCATTCCTTCCAGTTTGACCCAAGTATACCACCCCAGAGCATCAGGACTGACATTATGTAACTATTCTTATTTCAACTACCATTAAGTGAGGACTGACGCTATAGAAATGTTTTTCGTGTGCCTTCCTATATGGGCTATCAGGCGGTCACTGATCGGTGACTGGACAAATTCTTTTACCTTAATACACATACAGAAAGAGGCTGGTAGAGTTTTTACTCAAAAGCATAAAATAGGAAATTCATAAAATTGAGTAAATAAAATCACTCCTTGTAAATATAGAACCAAGGACAGAAAAAACACAGTGCTTAGTCTCCTTTAGGCATCTGACTTAGAAAGGCATTGTGCTTAGTGAATCCATACTGAATCCTATTACCTTCTGGATTCATACCAGTGAAGCATCCAGTAGCTGATGATTCCATTCCATCTGCCTGGAATTCTACACTCCAGTATTTTTAACTAGAACCCTGTTCATTATTCAAAATCAAACTTTCAAAGAATTATATTAATAAAAACAGCAACAATGATGACTGATAGTTATAGTTATTATGAACCTGATTTTGTTCAAGTGTTTCATAAATCTCAATTGAAAGTACAACTATTTTTTCTATTGCAAAGATGAGAAAATTAAGGTATCTCTTAATCTAGCTCCCATACATATCCTTGATCATTCTTCCAGAAGTTTATAAATCGAAGGAATAACCTATCTCACTCTGCTTTGTACAAAATGCGAAGCAAAGGGAGGTGCCTTCATATAATGGAATCATTCATAATTGACTTCAAATTTTGCAAATTGTTAACACTGATGTTAGAGAAGTACCTTGACTGGGGTATAGACAACTCAGTATCTATCCTCTGAATAGCTAATGTTTTATTTCTTCCACATTTCGTGAGTGGTGGTTCAACCTGAGTTGCCATAGATTAAAATATCTGTATTATAGTTAAGAACCAGGATCCCTAACCAGCACATCGGTCCAAAGAATTTTCAGAAAGTCATTAGCACCAAAGATTTCCATTCATGAAACTGTTAATAACTGGTTAATAAAACAAGAGACTTGGAAATCCTCTTTGGTTAATGTACAAGGGTCCTTCCTATGAAACTTTATGTTTATTAGCCTCAAGAGGCAAGGAGACCATGACCCTATCACCCAGCCAGGGTTCTTAATCTGTGGCAGCTTTGCATTGTCAGTTTTTCTTATCTTAGATTGAATTTGTTCTGTAACCACATCATCATTCTTTCAACCTTGTTCTCATATTCCAAATAACTAAATGTACCTCTGTGACTGTACATTCAGTGACTGGAAAAATACTACATTTCTTCCTCTTATCCTCTAGTGAAAGGGAGAGAAAATCTCAGCCTAATCTCTCATAATTCGAAGTAAAAAATTCTGAAGAATTTTTATGGACTTGTCTTTTAAGCAAATATCATTAGGAAGTTACCAGATGATCTCCACATTTGGAATCATATTCTTTCCATATCTGTTTAGTTTGGAGTCAGCTGGCATTCTTCCACTAGATAGAAAACTATTACTCCTTGTGAGAGTAATCCATTATCCCTCATTTTCCCTAACAATAGAATTGAGGGTGGTGTATGAATGTACAGCACATTTCCAGAAATTATGTGTCCAATTCTTGGTCCAAGAATGCAGACATTGAGTATACCTCCTCCACCTTCTTTTTCCCTTTTCTACCATAAGGACCCTACATTAGGTGGAATTCACTTCTGACCATACAAATAGTGATAGTGCCAAAGGGATGGCATGGCAGTGACTTTAGAAGGAATCTTGTCTATAATGACCTCAAGGAGTAGAGGTTCTCTGCAAACTGATGGGAGCAAGACGCAGCTGCTTTTATTTACAGGCCATTGGGTTTTTGGAAATTACAGTAGTTTAGTTTTACTCTGACAAATACACCTGTGAATAGATATCCTATTGTGGACTATTGTCAGAACTGTAGAAGTCATAAAAGACACTAGAATATCCAGAGAATCTTGCAACAAAACTCAAATTTTCACCACTTATTTTTGCTCTTTTAAATTGGGTCAATTCTATATCCACATTATGTAGGACTTTGTCAATTCATAGGGAATATTTGGCCTTCTGTTCCAGGTTTTTCACTATGCTTACTAGATATCAAAAAGTCTGCTATATTTAGTCACAACTTGGTATCAGTTTGGAAAGCCATTTGCCTGAACCTATTCTGGACCTTATTGTCTTCCTGTTTCGCTCCAATTTTAGCATACCTGGATTCTGTAATTCCTTTCCATGACAGTGATCAAGAATTATTTCATTGTTTCATTGGAATATATTTTTAAAAATTTCACCAAGCTCTCTAATTTTTTTCGCAGATGTTTTAGTCCAGGGATTATTAGCAAACTGTTTCTATAAAGATGAAATAGTAAATATTTTAGGCCTAGTAGGCCATATGATCTCTGTCACAGTTTCTCATCTTCATTGTTGTTGTGCTAAAGCAACTATAGATTTGTACATAAATGAATGGCTATGGCTGTATTTCAATAAAACTGTTTACAGGTAATGGGCTGGATTTGGTCCACAGGTTTGCTGGCCTATATCTTAGTCTGCTTACTAATATGAGTACTGTGGATAATTATTTTAATTTTACCTCACTTGTGCCCTTCTGAACTTTAACCCCATCCATTCTGATGGTTTTTTTAATGTGTCTCAATCTGCTTTCCTGACTGTTGCTGCCAGGCTTCTCAGTACATCTGGAAAAATTTATGGCCATTAATGTCATTTCATATTTGATTTTGAATATCTGCTCATTTCTGTGTTCATCACTAGTCAACACTCTTTCCCATTCCTCCCCTAAACCTGCCATTCCTCATCCAAGATAATGACAAACTGTTCTCCAAAGTGGTTGAACCGATTTACACTTCAGTAAGCAGTGACTGAGAATCTCATTGTTTCAAATTCTTGCCAATGTGGCAGACTTGATTTTCTGCCAGTTTTGGTGATTGAGAAACAGGGACCAGGCATTCCACAGCTTCAGGGGGTTGACACTTACCTTTGAGTGCAGAGGAATGGGGCTGCCTCAAGTTGCGCAGTGCATGATCCATGCAGTTATATACAGCAACCGTGTATGAAACATATCTCAGGGTGGTTTTAATTTAAAATTGCTTGGTTATTAATGAGTTTGAGAACCTTTTCACCTGTTTAATGGCTACTTATATTTCTTCATCTGTGAGGCCTGTAACCATGGTTTATTTTCCAGTTTTCAGTTCTTGCAATTGTCTTCATGCTCATCCTTTGTCACTTATAAACATGTGCTACATATATCTCCTCTCAATTTGTGACTTGTATTTTTAGTCTTTTTAGGGTGTCTTTGGATGAACAGAAGTTTATTATTTTTCATGAGCTCGATTGTAACACTTCTCTTTTAAGGTAAATGCTTTCACTGAAGGGCTTAAGGAAGCCAGAAAAAATTTCCCCTAGATTATCTTCAAAAAGTCTGATGGTATCTTTCACATTAAACTTTTTTATCAGGGTGGGGTTGATTTTGTTCTTGTCATCTAGCATTGTTTACTGAATAGCTCCCCTTTGTCCTTCTTTTAATCTCAGTCATAATTAAGTTTCAATACATGCATCCTTTTTTCATTTTTTAAAAATTTAGTCGATTTAGTCTTTATCCAAATGTATCCTTTTCATTCATTTTGTGTACTACCTCATTATTTCAAAAGTTATCTTATTTTCCATATTTCTACAATTTTGTAACTATACTATTTGTGCCTTTATATATACATTTTTGCAGCATTTTTATCCATTCTATATTACTGGCCAGTTAAACTTTGTCCAATATATTTGCTATTACAGAGAATGGACATTTTATCCACATGTCTTTTTTATTCTGCTGAGTAGTATCCTCTGGATATAATCCCAGGAATAGAAATATTGACTAAGAGTAATGATATTTTGTGGTTTTAAGTACAATAAACTAGATATTGTTATACTCAATTCCAAAATGATGATTTCACTGTAATATTTTAATTTCCTGCCTCCAAGTTTAGTAATGAAACGATACTTTGGTTTCATTTTAATAAACATTTATTTGGTTGCCCATGAGACTAAAGAAGTTTCCTGAAGCCTGTTTTGTGCACATGTCTCTTAGTGAGTGGCCTCTTGCTCATTCTCTTTATCCTGAAGTCTTGATCCTTCACATGAGAATTTGAATGGGCTCTCTTTAAGTTACAGATTTATATTACATATATGTATAACTTGACTTTGTTTTGTAAAGAACTATCATCTATTTTAAGTGCCTACTTACCCTGTGTTTTTTTCACTCTATCATACTGGACAAATCACACAAGATTAATCTTGAGCTTTTGAATAGAGGCAGTGGAGTCCTTTTCTAGCTGTATTTTGGCACAGATGTGGCACTATCTCTCTGAAACTGCTATCACTTATACCTCTGGGAACTGGAGATTGAATTGCTGCTCTGTTTGTAGTTATCCGCAAAGACCAGCTTCAAAGACGAGGGTTTAAGTTTCTATCCCATTCAAAGCAGTGGCAAGCAGAGAGGCAGAGTGCAGAGAATCATACCTATCGTTCTGTGGACACTTGCTTAGCTGGCACATCACATCTGACAGTGCCCAGGTTTTAGATGAAGGAACAGCCAGTGCTATGTTAGCTAATTACACCAAGCTTGGAACCTGACTCCCGGAGAACCAGGGAGGAGTTGCACATGTCTGTTTTTTTCACATTGGCTATTTGCCAGGGTGCAATAAACCATATAGATTTCCTCGGACTGAAGACGGAACTGAAGGCTATCCTGCTTTTTCACTCACTCACTTTAGTTAAGAATGCACCCTTTCAGTTGCCTGTCCCTCACCCCTTCGCCCTTCATAGCATCTAACACGTCGCTGAATCTTGTTCATTCAGGATTAAAAACATTTGGGTTTATCTTACCTTCTTTAGCACTTATCCTTATTTCAGGCCCTTACCATCACTCATCCAGATTACTTTAATTCCTCATACTACATCTCTCTGCTTCCATTCTTAGCTGACTTTTACTCTCTACATTAGTGAGGACATTTTCAGTTACACATATAGAAACCAAACTCAACATGTTTGTGAAATAAGCCAAAAAAAGAAAAGAAAAAGAATTTACTGAATCAAAGAGTTGAAGAAGAGTTGACTGCAAACATAGGCAGATACAGGATTCTAATGTCATCAGGATTCTGTCTCTCTCTCTCTCTCTCCATCCCTCATCTCTGCCTTTTCACCACTGACCTCCTAGGGGCAGGTTCTGCCCATGTCATGATAACAATGGCCAAGGATCCACAGGCTTACGTGAGCCTTTTAGTTAGGAAACTCCAGAGAAAAATACATGATATACCATAGTGTGGATATCATCCACCCATCCGATCCCCAAAGGCTCATATTAAACTCTCGTGGTTCAGGGTCCACTCCTGGACCAGTCTGATTAGCAAGCTTGCGCATGTGCCCAGCCCCATGGTGCAGAGGTAGAGACAACTGTTTACAAGTTCTACCAACACTACAAGGAGCAAGGAAGGAGCAGAGCTCTAAACAAATGGTGCTGGGGCCACCTGAAGATTAATACATGTGCACTGACTCTAGTCACCAGAATTATCTTTACAAAATAAAGTTACAATCACATAATATAAAATAAATTTATAATAAAATATAATCATATAAAGTAGTTTCTTGCTTTAAAAAAAAAAAACCTTCAAAGGCTTCTAGTTTCTCATGGGATGAGTTCAACCCTCCTGCCTGGCACATAAGTACATCAGACTTAGGACTCATCCTACCCTTCCTGTAATCACCATATGCCCTATCATACTTCAGATTTTAAAACATCCTTGCCATGTAAATCGCCATTGACTTAATATTCTTACTCTGCCTTGAACTTTTAAATTTCTAGAATTTATCATGTTGTACCCTCTACCATAAAATCCTGCATCCTGTTTCTCCGCACCACTTAAATATTACCTTCAATTCCCAGCTTCGATTTGATCTCTTCAAGTTTTTTGAGGCTCCATGAGGGGTTGTCAACCCCTCTAGTGTTATAGCACTTTGCATTGATCCTGAATCTAATCTTGTAATTGCTTTTTAATTGTGATTATGTGTCCGTTTTCTATCCTGGACTTTGAGCAGCTTGAGGACAGCAACCATTTCTTAATTGTTTTTACTTTCTTCTCTGTACACTGTGCTATAGCTCCTAGCAAATGCCTGAACAAACACATGATTGATTGAATGCATGCATGAAATAAGATCCCAGATTTTTGTGTTAAAAGGTAATTGAAAGCATGTATTTCTAACCAAGTGAATCTAGTCCCTCAAAAAATAATTTATGCTAAGGGAATTCATCTGATAATGTGGCTCAACAGGGTGGCAGAAGTATGTTGGCACAGTAATTTATTTGCAATGCTGAAGACATTCTGTGGTTTGGAAGCATTTCTAAATAGTGGAGTGAAACGTTACATAACAATCCAAGAGATTATAGGGCTGAATAATGCAGTACATTAAAAGTATTTCCTTCTGGCACTTGGATCCCCTGGCTACCATCCAATGTTCTCTATTTCTACCTATGATAGGTGAACCTTGCTTTTAGACTCACACATTTTAGACAAACTAAGGTATTATATGTTTCTGAAATGATGGTTAGAAATAACATTATAATCTCCTTCATGGTGCTTCCCTCTCATGAACATCCACAGAATGATTACTAGAGAAAAGAAGACAGCCTTTTGCAAGACTTGAACTGTTATGATCAAGCACATGCAGACATTTTTTTACTGTGTGTCCTCTTTCTCAGATGAAGCCTCTGCTGGCCCACCCCCTCCAGTCCTTACTAAAGAGGTGATTATCTGCAGGCAGACAGGCACAGAAGCCACAGAATGCTAGGAGGCACTATGCACCTTCAGAACAATGTAATCATATGGAATTCACTTGTGTGTCCTAGGTTCCAGTGCCCTTAAGTTAGCTTGAAGTAGAGTTTTGGTGCAAACAGCAACACCACAAAAATGCTCTTGTGGATGCCACCGTGGCAACCGAATATAAACACAACCTCAGATGTATAAACAAGGTGTGCGCCCCGTTGCAAAAGACAGTACTTAAGGCCTTTTGAGTTGTAATGAAGTGTAAGGTTATGAAAATGGCTTAGCAAAAGATAAAGCTATAGATTCTATTTTCATGGATTATGTAACAGCAAGTGTGCAAAGTTTATATTTTCTACTGGCACCAGATAATGCTGACTCACTGTGCAAGAAAATAAAGGTCAAACCTGAACATGCAACTTAAATCCAGAAGCAACTGTGCTTTCCCCCAAATAAAGACATGGTCATTGTCAACAGATGTTGTATGAAGTCAAATGCCCATTTCGGGCTTTTATTTAACATACTAAATGATCAAGATGGTGGCAGTATTCAGAGCTCCACAAGGCTAATCTCGTGGTGCCATCTATCAGAAATGTCACAGTTCAGGTGTTTTCCCTGCTGACCAAACCTTTTTCATTATGTAAATATATATATATATAAATTTAATCAAGTGGGAGTTTCCTTTCGAAAACTTTAATGCCCTACAGCGGGGAAGGGCCTTAGAGATTATTTTATTTTACCATTTAACTGTGCATATTAGAGGAGTAAAAAATATTCAGTAGGTATTACAAAATACCAGTTATTTGGGGCAAATGGGAACCTAAGAATGGTTTGCCATTGAACTCAGTCCCCCTACAGTGATAACTGCCAGGATTACTGACCAGTTTTCAGAACTTGCTGGTTTCTCAGTTAGCACTTAAATTTTTGAGAGACGTTTTCTGTTTTTCAGGAATGTGGGACAAATACCCAGCACTTAGGAGGCCGGTAAGACAGTCTACAGGGATCCCCACACAACAGACATAATCAGAGTGTCCCATACATTAGGGGTTCACTTTGAATTACAGATTACCGCTTTCTTATCTTGAACTTTTTCTTCTTCACTTCACTGGAAAGATATTTTACCCATTTTCTTCCTCTTATATCCTGAGTTAATCTGAAAGAAGATTCTGATCTACATTTTTGGCTCTTTAACGACTAGATTTCTTGATATAGTCTCAAGTGTTAGTTCTTTGATCTACCACCGAAGCCTGCTAGTCACAGAGGGAGTTATTGTTTGTGCTACAGTTTTGGGGGAAAGTGCTTTGAATAACCATATTTCTGTTTTGTGTTACAGCTCAGATCTTTATTTCCTGTCCCTTAGTGTTTTGTAAACCTGTTTCAGCTGTTGCCAGCATTACTTGCCATAGCTTGAATACACTTAGAGAGATGTATTTATGAATAACGGAAGTGTTATTCACTCATTTTTTGCTTCTTTCTGATAAACAACTGACTTTCTTAATAGTTAACCTAACATGTTTTGAAAAGACATGCACAAAGATTATAAATGTAGGATTAAGAGAATGCCAACTCTCTAAAATAAAATCCAGAACCTCAAAAGATTTTTTTTTTACTGGAAGCAGAGTCTCCAAAGGGAAGTCCATTTGGAACCAAGTGGCTCCAGATTTGTTCTCTCCAGTTCTCCCCTTTCCCATGGTGCTGATTTTCCCTGATATTAGAGGTTCCTCTCAGTACAACAAAATAAGGCTAGATTTTCAGACTTTTACAAAGTGCCCAGGAAGAGCAAAAGGGAAAAAAACATGCAGAAAACACAAGATTTTGTTTTTCTTTCTGGGAAAGATGTGTGGATCTCTCTCAGGGCCAGGAATTAGCCTTATTTCTCTAAATCTCTGACACTTAGCACAGTCTTGACACATAGTAATTGTTATATACGTCTTGAATGAATCAATATGTTAGTGACTAAAATACCTTAGGAATTAGGAATTTGAATAACAAAGTATACATGGCTCACATGCAATTAGGCTCTGTAGCTTTAAGTTTCTAAATTCCAGCTCCAAAAGACTCGACTAATTTCATAACTCCTTGTTTTACTTGTTTCCTAGGTCTGACCTCTGCTTGCGTGGGAATCACCATCTCAAAACCCGAGCCTTCTAATTCCTTCTTTCTTCTAATCAACATCCCACCCAAGTTACGATAAGGAAAGACAGATCCCCCTCTGCTCAAAGTGGCTTCAAGCTCTTGAACAGAAAGTTGACACCTGGGATGTCTCCATCCCCTCCAAGCCCTGCTCCATGGCATAGGCCATACTGTCCTTTAAAATATCAAAAGGAGAAACAGAGACTAGAATGGTGGTTACCAGGGGCAAGGGGTGGAGAAAAAGGGGAAAGGTTGGGGCAAGAGTACAAACTTCCAGTTACAGCATGAATAAGTTCTGGGGATCTAATGAACAGCATAGTAACCATAGTTAATAACACAGTATTATATCTGAAACTTAGTAAATGAGTAAATCTTAAATGCTCTCACCACAAAAAAGAAATAGTAATTATGTGACCTGATGGTGGTGTTAGCTGACACTGTGTGGTAATAATTTCACAATATATATGTATATCAAATCAATGCATTGTACACCTTAAACTTATACAGTGTTATATGTCAATTATATTTTAATAAAGCTGGGGAGAAAAGTGGTGGGGAGGTGTTTCCCAGCATGGGTAGTTTGATGTCACTGTTTTTGTGAGGAGAAATATGTAAATCAGATTTAACAACAATTTCTATCAGGCTACTTATGGTTAAGAAAATTAGTTAAAATGTCATCTGTTTAATTGTTTGTTAATCTTAATTAAAATGTTAATGCAATACAAATAAAACAAAATACTAAAAGGATCACTCCATTTCTTTGCTTCAAACTCTTCAACAGGTTCTTGTTACTTGTAAAGTCAAGCCCAGAATCATTGACAAGGCTTACAAATTGTTTTTTAACATGACTTTTAAAAAAGTTAATAGGGCTTAAAATAGTATTTTTCAAATGACACATCAAATAATCAGTCAAATTAATTGTCAAATTAAAACAGATATAATTTAGTGGGTTGAGACAAATATCTAAAAAATAAAATGCAGTTGAACATAATATGTTAGAGTATACTGCATGTAGTAAGGGTATTATTTCAAGAAAGGTTTTCAATTATGCTTGTATGAAATGATATGCTATATTAAGTAGGACATATGAAAAATCATAGCACATAATACATTGGCTCAATAAATACTTGCTGGAGGAGGAATGCCAGGTCTCTGTTCTAAGCAACATGCTCTTCCCTGGTATTTTTCCAATTCTGGCTATTACGTGTGTGGTTGGATAATGATCCACTGAGTCCATCAGTCTTATGTTGAGAATGCTTAATGAAGAGAATTCTCATTAAAATTGTGATTTCTTAGGAAGAGTCCCATGTTCAGAATCACAAGCATTTTTTAGTTCTTTACCCCCATACACTTCACAGTGGTGTAACAGAGGATCCACCTTTATAGATCTTTTCTCCAGGCTCTTGTATGTAAGAATATCCATCTGAGTAACTTCTGCTCTATATTTGAGGGGACTGTAAATAAGTTTTACTGCCTGAGCCTGCTCTGAACCAAGTCATCTATTAAAATATAAAGGCTTTGAGTTAAAAAATGATCTATCTGTAATTTAGATAACTTCTGAGGGTTAGGAAATGACAGAATAGATAACTTGGGTTAATATATCACAGGAATTACCAACTAATCAAACAATCTGGGAAAGCTAGTCAATTATTAAGAATTATCCTCAAAACCTTTCCAGAAAAGGGTTGAGTATATTATATGTACCTACTAGGGAATACAAAATTATCTATAAAATTTGTGAAATATTAGCTAATCACTGGCAATGGGAAGCAAAAAGCAGGTTAATAAGCTAAACAAAAATATCCTCCACAGGGGGCAATGAGTGTAATAGGTGATCCAAATGTAGAGGTATTCCTTACAAATGACTAATGGTTTTCTTCAGTAGTTCAGTCTACTAACTGCTCCAATTTGGAAAATCTTAACATAAAAATTAGATGCCGGATGGAGTAAGGAGAGGTCTATAGTTTGAGTTAGGAGTCCAGAACTCCGGTTCTAGGCTCCTTTAGTAATGAAGCCTGGACAGGTGAAAGCACTTGGGCTCCCGTGTCCTCTGGATCCCCACCTGAGAAACAATGCTTTGGATGAGATGGGCCTGCCTTCCCACCTTAGTCATGCAGGATTCCATTCACACTTCCTATTTCCAAGCTGCTCATTAACGTACTTATTTACCATGAGTGATAATAATCTGATTCAAATGACACATTGAAAGAGACCAAATTAATCATTAACCTGAGTTTTTCCTCCCTAAAAAAATGAAATTATTTTGTGTGCAAATGTTTAAGGAATAACTGACTGAAGTTTTCTCTATCCAATATAATGTGAACCAACAAGTAGATTTTGAGCCGCACAGCAGGTTGCCAATGGATGCCAATGAAATCCTTAATTATCAGCTTGTATTGTGTAAAGCAATGGGGGTTAAGCAGCTTTCTGCTTTCCCTAAAGCAAGCTTGGTTTCAAAGCTAAGATTTAGATAGCCCCTTGGTTTTTACATGCTTGAGATGTGGGCAGTACATCTGTATATAAATCTTTTTGCAATTAGGTAGCACATTAGTGACACAGCATTTTGAGGCAGAGAAGACTGACCCCATAAAATAAAATATGATATGACAACAAAAAATAATTGCTTAGGAGTGAAACACTTTCCCCTACATAACATTGAAGATGACCACATTCAAACCACTTTGCCATTGTATAAAGATTGGAGTTAAATTAGTTTGATGCCAAAGTTCATAGTTAAGATAAAGTTATTCTTTAAAAGACTCTCTCCCATCTGGGTCTATGGAATGCCTGAAGTTATTATTGATACAACTAAGTTTCTTAAGGAAAGTTTTGCCCTTAAGAAAAAATTACAAATATGTGCAGAAATTTGCCAGAAAAATGATTCTATTGTTTTTTTATATTCATACTAGACTATATTTTTACAAGAGGAGATTATTGTGAGCAATACTCCATCAGATTGTTAATAAGCATCTACAGTGAGCATCCAGGCAGCATGCTCTTGAGTTCTTTATAAGGGCAAAGAAATGCTGGACTATGTCCCTCCGGGAGGTTGCAGCATACTAGAGAAATAATGGCTAAGTCAACATTCTTGACTTTTTAAGACACTGGTTTGTTTAGAAGGCAGGGATTAGGGCTAATGACTTTAGTGATTTGTTGCCATACAATTATGAAATAGTTCTCTAAACTGTGCTTCCGATATAATTATTAGGAGAAAAGTCTCCACTGCAGTAAAAAAAAAAAAAAAAAAAAAAAAAACAGGACAAATGAGCACTCAAAGGATTTCCCTATTAAAAGGAACATGAAATACAGACAGACAGGCCTGGTCACTCTGAAGTAACTTGACAGTGCCTTGGCCCTTCTAATCCTTTTTCCACGGAGCCAGACAAATCCTTCTGAAACACAAAGCTGGTTGTCACCTCACTGCTAAACCCTGGTAAGGGGCTCCCATTATCCTCTGGATGCTAAAGTTCAAGCTCTGTAGCATGAGTGTTAAATGCACTTACCGGGGTTAGGCCTTGCTTACTTCCCAGCTCACTTCTCACTTCTCTGATCATAATGCCAAGTTTCATCATATTATTTTATTTCTCTGAATGGAACTTCCTCTCTTTATTTGCCCACCTTCCCTCTCTCTCTTTACTTTGTTCATTACTACTTCAGTCCTTAGCATTGCTAGGACTTCATCCCAGAAAACCTTCCCAGACCCCTTTATACTATTCAGGCTTTAATAGCACCTAATGCCTGCCAACTGCAGAATTTACCACACTATGGTGTCTATGAATCTGTCACAACCACTGAGTTCTTACCATACTGTGACTTGCTAGGATTTTGTCCCCAGACATTGATATAACACATAGCTTAAAGTAGATGTATCCAATAAACAATTATCAATGACACAAAAACATTATAATCCTAGGGGGTGACGCAACAAACCATTCCCTTTGTGTACCAGGCACATAATAGATTTTTAAAAAATTTGTTATGAAGACAGAGCACACTAAATTCAGAAGCTTAAACCTTGTTTCACGACAGCGAGGGGCAGAAAACTGAAGAATGATTTAGAATCTCCCAGAGTAGCATTGGAAAGGGCAAGACACTGTTTAACATAACTGTGTAGAATAGGTCCCTTTGAGGAATATGACTATAAAAAATAAATGGTTCCATTTTTAGACACATTGCTTCAATCCAGGGTGCTGCCAGGTACAGGCTCCTCTAGCTCTGCAGCCTGGGATAGAGTTACAGCCTCTGCATTGCATTTCATTCCCTTGATTATTACATAATCCATCTAGCTCTACCTATCAATTTACAGACCAAAAGGAATCCCATCATAAGCACACTGAGTCATCTACTTGGCTGCATCATACAAATGTGTTTTACCTGGATTATGTCTGTCAGTACAATCCCCCCAGTGATGATAGTTTCATTGTATTTAACACAAAGTCTCCCTAGAGACAGTCATGGGGGAGACACCTGAGGTGCAAGGAAATGACACCATTAAGTATAATCAGCCTTGATAACTCATCTTCTTTCTACAACCTGTGATTTTAGGAATGTTATTACTATGCAGGGTATTTAAAACCCCATTGCAGTAAAATGGTTCCAGTACCAGCCTCCTTTGAAAACTTCATACTCATATCAAATTATCATACTGTGATCATTTGTGAAATATTAACTTTGAGGGGAAAGATGATTCATTTTTTCCCTCTAAATTATGGAGTTTGCTAGGTCCCTAAATACGGTGAAGGATAAGAGACGCCATGATTTTAACATTTAAAAATAGATAAAATGAAAATACATAGGTATTACCAGAAGTAAATTGAGAAAGAAGTTGTTTTATGAATAGGTGGATACAAATAAGTCTTGTGAAAACAAGTGTGATTGTGCCCATAGTTCATTTATGTGTTCACAAGTTTGTAGGCTAATAGACCATCACAGTACTGAAGCATTAGAATGTCTGAAAGTGGCAAGAGAACAGAATATTGTTCCACTGGTGAGCTTTAGATGAATTTTCTGATACCAAGATGAAGAACAGTAAGAATGGCATTTGAGTACATCAATGTGGTTTAAGACATCAGTGTTGTTCTTCAAGAGATGTTTTCTTTTCACACAGAAGCCCTGGAGCAGACTTAACAAAGATTTTGCTGTGCACTTTTAAACACTTGGATTTTCCCATTTGTAGGAACGTGTTCCTAGACATTGAAATGATTGAGTCTAATCAGGCAGCTGTTATCTCCAATATGATCTTCAAAGTCA